GAGGACATCAGGGCGGTGGGACGCTTAAAAGAGGCGCCGCCGCCAGAGCCAAGGGGAGGAAGACGCACAGCCAGGAGGAAGAGGACGGGCGGACAGTGGCACCTCGGACCCCGTCTGCGCAGACCCTCGAGACCCAGTCGTCACAGCAGCCCGACGGGGGAGGTAGAAAGCGACCCAGGGCAGGGTGTGGAAACCCGGGCAGTTGGTGTGTTGAGGGGATTCCGTCCCCCACCAACCAGGACTGGGGGAATTAGCGCATTCCCCCAGACCTTAGGGCCGTGGGTCGGGGCTCGGAGTAAGGGCGGGCCTGAGCCCCCCTACCCTCCGTGGACACCACTCACCGCTGACTGAACATGGACCGACCCTGCCAGACTCAGGGGCAGAGCGCTGGGGTAATCAGGGAGCACGAAGAGGACGAGACCTCGGGTGAGGAAAACCGGAGGGGAGAGCGGAGGACCCTGCGTGGCCCTCGGGTGAGGGCCGCGTCGACGCCGAGCCCCTCCACAGCCTGCTTTAGCCCCACTGCACCATCACCCAGAAGCCACCTGTGGTATGCAGTGCTCAGCTGGAGGCTGCATCCTGAATCCCTGTCCCAGTCATGAACCCCCTCCTGCACCCCAAGCCTCTGTCCTAGCCCTGAGCCCCCTGGACCCAAACTCCCTTACAGAGCCTGTACCCTGAACCCCCTCTTGCACCCCAACTCCCTGCCCCAGGCTCAGCTCAGAGCCCCTCTCACACTCCAAATCCCTTAGCCTAAGACCAGAGCCTGTGCCCCCACCCTCTGCCCCTGCCTGGTGAAAGGGAAGGAGAATGGGGGAGGGAGGAGGATGGAGTGAGGAGGAGGCGGGGCCAGGGGTAGATCCTGGATTGCACTTCAATTCAAAAGGGATCTCGTGCTTTAAAAGGTTGGAGACGAACAAAACGTGTCGCTGGGACCATGAGCGTTTGTGGGCACCGCCCACTGCCTCGGATGACCGGACAAGAAGTGGGCGGGGCCAACGGAAGCTCATGATCCCAGCGACATGTTTTGTGAGTCTCTCAGGTGCTCCCAGACTATTTGCTGTGCTTCAAGTTTTTCCCAATTCTGAAGATGAAACACCAGCCTCTTAAAAACAACAGAAGCAGCGGAGAAAAGTTTCTTTCCACAAACTTGTGTACTGAAGGTGACGATACAAGGGTTTCACACTCACCCGTGTGATCATTTAAATGACAAATGTAACAAATGAAACTCCACTTGCAAGCTATTCATTACATGCAGTGAGGGGCGCGCTATAGGGCCTGGGAATTTTAACCCGTTCCTCTCTGCATGTCAGTAGCGGCACCCTGCATCTCCTTCCGCCTCGCCCTGTTATAGCTCCACTCAGTAACAGTTTTACTTGTTTCCTTGATGTCTTAATTTCCTGCAATAATACATCTGCCATGAATAATTAAGCAATGCATTTGCTGCTTGCTGAAAGCTGAGGAAGTGCTATAAATCAGCTCGGGGACCCTGCCAGCACAGACAATCAGGGAACTGCTAACATTTCTCTCCCTTTGCAAGCAGGGGGGAGGGGGAACAGCAAGCAGCACTGACCAACTGCAGCTGGGCTGCCTGTACCCCGGGCCGCAGCCCTCTGCTTAGCTCTGCTACCTGTTCCCAGCACTGACCAGCGCCTCTCAGGATCCCCACTATGAGGAAGGGAAATGGCACGTGCGTGACGATTCTTGTATTTACCTCTTCAAGGAAGCTCAGCTCCCGTCCCCTAATTCCCCCGTTCCGCGGGTGGGGTAACGGGCAGGGAGAGCACAGATGGGAACGTGCCCGAGGGTGGGAGTTTGCTCCTTTACAGAGTCGCTAGGAAAACACTCTGCATGGCCTGGACAGGCTGTCACGTCTGCTGGCAAAGCGGGTGTGAAAAGCACCCCCAACAACAGCGCTGGCGTGCACAGCTCTGTCAGCAGGCCAGCTGCCGCCACTCACTGCGCTGCCCAGAGAGGTTCCCCAGTCAGCCTAGAGCGACCTTGCAACACCGTGGCAGCAGCTGTGCCACTGGTGCAGATCTGGCCTAAGTGCCATCACCCCTGCATTCACCAGCAGCCAGCCACACAGATTTCTGGGAGAGATCTAGAGCAGAGAAGGAAAACTGCACAACCCCGGCGCTAACCCCCCGACAGCCTTTCCCCTCGCCTGGCTAACAGGGGCCAGGGACAGGAAAACACCTTCCTATGGCCAGAACAACTGCACCTTCTAGCGGGAAAGAGGTTACGGCGCAGTCACTCGAGAGGGAACTGAACCGTGCAGAACGCCAGTGTCTCAGGCTTGGCAGAGCAAGCTCAGAGCTATCAAGCAAGGTAGCCACCAAGTGTGGCAAAATGTCAGCGTCACCAGTACGCTCCTGCACATCTAAAAGAGAAAGTCTCTCCGATTCACCAGCAGATACAAGAGCTCAGAACATTTTCAAAGGTCAAAAATGCTGGACAGTTTATCATTCAATTTCCTTGCAAAACTCCCTCACGCAGACACAAACCATGAGATTGTTGGGTTTATGCTGAGATTGTCCAGCTGTGCTGTCAGTCGGCAGCGTTCCGGGGACGTGGCTGTAGCAGATTTCATCAACTCTGGAAAGGTCGGGAAAGATGGAGAGAGTCCTGGCTGAAGGGTTGGAGTTTGCAGGACTCACTTTGAAGACCATCCCCCTCCTCGCTCTGCAGAGTCCCTTTTCCCAGGCCCTGGCTAGCTTAAGAGCGCTCTCCGACCAGTATGCCAGATTACGCAATGCGTGTGCCACGCACCCACACGAAACTCTGCTTGGTTTGTCCCATAGCTATGGCGCTCAGGGCACGGAAAATCCACAGCCGTGCACCAGGAAGTTCCGCCAACCTAACCCCGGTGTAGACATGGCGGGGGCTCTCTCGAGGAGGCGGGGCAGCGCTGTCCATGGGGGGGTTCTCTCGAGGAGGCGGGGCAGCGCTGTCCGTGGCGGGGGCTCTCTCGAGGAGGCGGGACAGCGCTGTCCATCGTGAGGGTCCTCTCGAGGAGGCGGGGCAGCGCTGGCCATGGCGGGGGTTCTCTCGAGGAGGCAGGGCAGCGCTGTCCGTGGCGGGGGCTCTCTCGAGGAGGCGGGACAGCGCTGTCCATCGTGAGGGTCCTCTCGAGGAGGCGGGGCAGCGCTGGCCATGGCGGGGGTTCTCTCGAGGAGGCAGGGCAGCGCTGTCCGTGGCGGGGGCTCTCTCGAGGAGGCGGGACAGCGCTGTCCATCGTGAGGGTCCTCTCGAGGAGGCGGGGCAGCGCTGGCCATGGCGGGGGTTCTCTCGAGGAGGCAGGGCAGCGCTGTCCGTGGCGGGGGCTCTCTCGAGGAGGCGGGACAGCGCTGTCCATCGTGAGGGTCCTCTCGAGGAGGCGGGGCAGCGCTGGCCATGGCGGGGGTTCTCTCGAGGAGGCAGGGCAGCGCTGTCCGTGGCGGGGGCTCTCTCGAGGAGGCGGGACAGCGCTGTCCATCGTGAGGGTCCTCTCGAGGAGGCGGGGCAGCGCTGGCCATGGCGGGGGTTCTCTCGAGGAGGCAGGGCAGCGCTGTCCGTGGCGGGGGCTCTCTCGAGGAGGCGGGACAGCGCTGTCCATCGTGAGGGTCCTCTCGAGGAGGCGGGGCAGCGCTGGCCATGGCGGGGGTTCTCTCGAGGAGGCAGGGCAGCGCTGTCCGTGGCGGGGGCTCTCTCGAGGAGGCGGGACAGCGCTGTCCATCGTGAGGGTCCTCTCGAGGAGGCGGGGCAGCGCTGGCCATGGCGGGGGTTCTCTCGAAGAGGCGGGGCAGTGCTATCAATGGCGGGGGCTCTTTGGGCGGCGTTCCAAGATTTCCAGCTCCATCCCTCGGGAGGCTGGGTGCCTCCAGGGCGGGCGGGACTCAAACCCTCAACCTGTGGTTCCAGAGGCACGGGGCTGCAGACTGGGGCAGACACTGGGGTGCCGGAAAAGCTCCCAGGCCAAGGTGAAAACCCCTGAATACTTATGGGAAGCAGGGCTTTGCCCCAGCATGGAGGACAGCCGCCTCCTCCTTGGAGGCCCAAGGGAAAAGCCTGTGCTGGGCGTGCCACAAGACTGGTCCTGGGGTGTCTGGGCTACTGCCTGACTCCAGCTGCAGCGACTCTACGGGCCCTCGAGACAGCCCCTTCTGCTCAGTGCTCAGACCCAAGCCCCACCCCCCAAGACAGCTGGCTACCCGACCTGCTAGCCCCCAACCTGCTAGCCCCTGCCCCGGCAAGCCAAAGCACCAGCTGCTCCGGGGGCCAGCTCACGGGCAGTCAGCAGAGGAGGTAGCCACGGGCAGGAGCTGAACAGATGGCAGGGGCAGGGGTGGCCACAGCCGGGGTGAATGGTGATGTGGAGGACGGCCACGGGGGAGCCGAGGGAAAGGACGGGGGATGCTGCGGCGCTAATACAGGTGGCAGGAGACAGGGCGCACAGCGCAGGGGCCACACTGATCCTCCCAGCAAATGCCAACGTTGCCTGTGGGATCAGTGCATCTTCCAGGGCCCTCAGGAGCTCAGCTGAGCCCTGGCCACCCAGCCCCTCTCCCTCCGCATGCTCCTCGCAATGGCCCTGCTCCCCGCGGGAGCAAGGTGAGCAGCTACCACCAGGCGGGCACCCCGAGGGTCCAGGAAAGGAGAAGGGAGGGCTGCCTAGCTCGGCACAGGCTGGGGGAGGTTACAAGTATGGCGTGTCTGCCGCCTCTCCACCCCACTACTGGAAAATGCAAAACCCCTGGCCTGCCGAACAAGGAGGCGGGGGACCTGGATGGAGAGCACAGGGAGGTGGGCAGCCAGGCTCCTAGGGAGGAGGAAGGAGATGATGAAGAGTGGGGGAGCTGAGTGCTGGGAGGGAGAGGAGCAGGGACTGTGGAAGAGAAGGACAGGAGTGGGACTGGGAGCGAAAGGCAGGCAAGTGTGGGGTTTGCCAATGCAGCAGCTTTCCACGGTACAAACTCCTGCACAGAGCTGCCCGTGTAGCCACCATTCCAGCCCCCTACTATGGGATGGTTCGTGCTCACTCTCGTACGCAGAGGGAGAGACGTACGTGTGGAATGATTCGTGCTCTCTCTCGTACGCAGAGGGAGAGACGTACGTGTGGGCTGGTTCTTGCTCCCTCTCGTGCGTGGCGGGAGAGATGTACGTGTGGGATGGTTCGTACTCACTCTCGTGCGCGGCGGGAGAGACGTACGTGTGGAATGATTCGTGCTCTCTCTCGTACGCAGAGGGAGAGACGTACGTGTGGAATGATTCGTGCTCTCTCTCGTACGCAGAGGGAGAGACGTACGTGTGGAATGATTCGTGCTCTCTCTCGTACGCAGAGGGAGAGACGTACGTGTGGAATGATTCGTGCTCTCTCTCGTACGCAGAGGGAGAGACGTACGTGTGGAATGATTCGTGCTCTCTCTCGTACGCAGAGGGAGAGACGTACGTGTGGAATGATTCGTGCTCTCTCTCGTACGCAGAGGGAGAGACGTACGTGTGGAATGATTCGTGCTCTCTCTCGTACGCAGAGGGAGAGACGTACGTGTGGAATGATTCGTGCTCTCTCTCGTACGCAGAGGGAGAGACGTACGTGTGGGATGGTTCGTGCTCACTCTCGTGCGCAGCAGGAGAGACGTACGTGTGGGATGGTTCGTGCTCACTCTCGTGCACGGCGGGAGAGACGTACGTGTGGGATGGTTCTTGCTCTCTCTCGTGTGCGGCGGGAGAGACATGTATGGGATGGTTCTTGCTCTCTCTCGTGCACGGCGGGAGAGACGTACGTGTGGGATGGTTCGTGCTCACTCTCGTGCGCGGCGGGAGAGACATACGTGTGGGATGGTTCTTGCTCTCTCTCGTGCACGGTGGGAGAGATGTACGTGTGGGATGGTTCGTGCTCTCTCTCGTGCACGGCGGGAGAGATGTACGTGTGGGATGGTTCGTGCTCACTCTCGTGCACCGTGGGAGAGATGTACGTGTGGGATGGTTCGTGCTCTCTCTCGTGCACGGCGGGAGAGATGTACGTGTGGGATGGTTCGTGCTCACTCGTGCACGGCGGGAGAGATGTACGTGTGGGATGGTTCGTGCTCACTCTCGTGCACCGTGGGAGAGATGTACGTGTGGGATGGTTCGTGCTCACTCTCGTGCGCGGTGGGAGAGATATACATGTGGGATGGTTCGTGCTCACTCTCATGCATGGCGGGAGAGATGTACGTGTGGGATGGTTCGTGCTCTCTCTGGTGAGTAGCGTTCCTACTCCCAGCAGTACAGTCGAGTCTTGGGCCATCCCACCAAACAAGTCATCTGCTGTGATGCTTCCTGGGCAAGGGGCAAATTCATGCAAGGAAAGACAAGTGCCCATCTTGCTGGCATGCTGTCCGGTATCCCGAACCCTTTCTCCTCCTGTAGGCGGGCAGGGACCTTACATTATACAAAGGACATTACAATCTGTGCCGAGAAGTGTTCTCGTGCACAGGGCCTGTCACTGCCTTACCGGATGCCTGCCACAGGAAGCAAAATGCAGGACAATGTAGCACTTTAAAGACTAACAAGATGGTTTATTAGATGATGAGCTTTCGTGGGCCAGACCCACTTCCTCAGATCAAATAGTGGAAGCTTCCACTATTTGATCTGAGGAAGTGGGTCTGGCCCACGAAAGCTCATCATCTAATAAACCATCTTGTTAGTCTTTAAAGTGCTACATTGTCCTGCATTTTGCTTCCTGCCATTGATAGTTTGCAAGAAGACTGCTGCAATTTGTGTAATTTGTGTACTCTCAGTGGCAGAATAAGGACTTTGCAGGAAGGCAGAGAGCAACCAAACCAAAGGAGGGCTAGGCACTGGCCCATTCTGCTCGCACACTGGGTAGGTGCGATACTGGGTCTCCTGCTGCAGGGCTTGCCCCAACCTCGCACCATTAGAGACCCAAGCAGACCTAATGCAGGAACAGGTTCTTACACGTCTCCTCCTGCAGCGCTGCTGCTGCTTCTCCTTCTTCCAATGCCTCTGCTGCCATAGCCGCGCAGACTTGCCAGTGCCCTTTGGTCCCTTCTCCTCCCAACGTGTCTTTCCACGGGACGTGGACGGTCACATTTCCGAGGTCCAGAGTCCTTGTTTGGCTGTTCTCATGTCCTTTCCATGGGTTCTTGATTTCACTCAGATCACTTCCTCCCAACTAATTCATCCATGTTGGTCAAAACCAGAACCAAATAAACACCCCCCTCGCTGTTCCCTGAGTCAGCCAGCTGGCCGCTACACACACTAAGAATCTCCGGGGTGGATTATGTTTTGTTGCAAGAGTCTTCCAACAGAGACCAGGAAAGTTAACACCCTCCATCAATTCTAGCTTGTGTGTGAGCTAACTCTGCCACCTGCTTGACACATGATTCATCTACTTCCTCTTCTTGATTTCATGGCCTGTAATAGACCACCACCTAACACTGCTCTTATTCGCTTCCCTTATTATCCTCACCAAGAGACTCCCCGGAGGTCTGTTGCTCACTTCCCCTTTGGCCTTGGAGCAGGTGGATATATTCTTGACGTACAGTGCAACGCCGCCTCCTTTTGGAACAAACTATGTATGTAAATGCTGCTACCCCAATCACGAGAGTGATCCCACTAGGTCTCTGTCATAAGATAAATAAGTCATAATTGTCTTCATATACTATGACTTCCAGTCCATCCTGCTTGTTCCACCTACACCTCGCATTTGGTACAGACATTGAAGACATTTTGCAGACTGTCCTATTATGTTTCTTTTTGCCTTTTTCATGAGGTTATAATTTCTAGATCTTTCTCCAGAAATTAGCCCTTCCCCTTCTTTCCGTTATTTGAGTCTAGATGCATGACTGGATTTTGTTGACTATCCCCAGTAGGATGTCATAGAATCATAGAGCTGGAAGAGACCTCAGGAAGTCATGAAGTCCAGCCCCCTTCCCAAGGCAGGACCAATCCCAACTAAATCAACCCGTCCAGGGCTTTGTCAAGCTGAAACTTAAAAACCTCTAGGGATGGAGATTCCATCACCTCCCTAGGTAACCCATTCCAGTACTTCACCACCCTCCTAGGGAAATAGTTTTTCCTAATGTCCAACCTAGACCTCTCTGTAGTTTTAAGCTCTCATTATCTGATTAGTCAGGTGAGGTCCAAAGAGTCTCTTCCCAGTATTTGATAGACAGGGTCCACCCTCTTTATATAATGTCATATAGAAAGTGTGTCTAGCCTGACATAAGTGGAAAATACCTTCGGATATGCTGCTTTCTGTATTCCAAGTAAATAGAGCTCCTTGCAACACCAAAGTACAGGGTGCGGTTCTAACACAACAGATTACAACTTAGGTAAAATGCCACAAATGTAAACTAAATTACTTTCCGGTAAATGCCTGCCCCCTACAGAAGGCTGTGCTGCTGGCTGAAGAGAAATTCAAAAGCATGTGTTCACTGACTAGATCAACTACAAAAAAGAACTTTGTCATAAACATGACCAAGCCAGTAATCACACTGTGGATCCCTACAGCGACGGGAAAGACATTGCAAGATGCTACACACCTAACTCCAGTGTAGTAGGCTAGTCTTATGGTACTTGGGAAATGCTATACTCTCAGCATTAGAGACCGGGGTTGTGATGCTCAACACACACCAAGGGAGAGAGTTCAGGTTCAGAAGGCAGCCTCAGGAGATACATTTTGTTATTGTTGTGTCCTATGATATAACCATAATGTCCCTTTAACAATGGAAATTCTATACAAATTCAGGTGATTGAGAAACCAAGAGGGAATATTTCATAACACAGAGCCAGAGTATTCACCACCTTAATTCCCTAAGCAATACAGAAAAGAAGATCTAGAACAGTAAAACCCTTTTATAACTTTTACCTTTTGGATATCTTTGTTTCACTGACTGCAGTGTAACTACATTTTTAAGTATACAGTTAAATTAGTCACATACACACACACAATGTCATTCTTTGGCTGGGTGTGTTAGATGATTTCACAAGAAAACTTATACGGTAAATGTCATATCTTGGTTAAACCAAACCTCATTTTCCTTGGACTATGAAAGCTCTTCCATGACAAATTTCCAACTTTCTAATCTCAGCCATGTCAGCAGCGGACTATTTTTAATAAAGTTGCATTTTTCATTTAATCTATAAACATTCAAAGTGTTCTTCCCACTCTCACTCTCAAAATGATTTCTGCTCAAACTTTCATAAACAAACAAAACCTTTTAGCCAAAGAACAAGACAGAAAATCTTCAGCCAAAAGTGGAAGCTTCAGAAAGTTACAAGAAACAAATGATGAGTGGAAACATTTGTGCCGATTTCTCCCAGGCTTACTGTAATGTGTTGGAAATGCGTGGAAATCAACAAGCAGCACAAGCAAATGACAGACAACGAGCTGGGCCTTTAACTCATCAGAAAATCAGATGCTGTTTGTAGCTCTTCACTGTTTATGTAGAACACTGGAACGGGATGAAATTCTATGGCCTGTCTGATTAGATCAACCTGCCCTAGGATTCTTTCTGGATTTAAAATCTATGGATGACAGCTCAGAGCAGTGGGCCATCTGTGTCTGAACGTAGATGGTACCAGTAGGGATGTAAGATCACATATAACTGGTTAACCGGTTAAGGGATTAAAGGAAAGATGGGAGGGGAGGGACTGGAGTGCCCTCCTCTGCTGCGGACAAGGGCTGCTTCAGTCAGCCGGAGCAGGATCTGCCTGCGGCACACTGCCCAGGTGGGGCTGACTACAGACCAGGGCTGCCTGGGGTGGTCTCAAGGAGACTGGAGCCCCCTGCCAGCTGCTCCAGCACCTACCGGTGAACTGGTGCACCGCTCCCATCCCTCCTGCAGCGCTGCTCCCATCCCTCCACTAGCGCCACTCCCATCCCTCCAGTAGCGCCGCTCCCATCCCTCCCGTAACAGAGGCTGCTGAGGAAGATGTGAAGGAGCCCACAACAATGGCTCATTAGTGAATAACCTCTCCACAGGGGATCCCACTTTCTCCCTACCACCAGACAGTGAGTAACTCACACCTCTGCTTTGAACACAAGCCCCCAAGACACAGAACCATTTCCAGTCTGAGAGGTCGCCATGGTAAACACCATTCCCAGTGGCTTCCCAGTATTTATGGCACACAGGGAGATTTAAAACCAGAAGGCTAATTATTTCCATCCCAATCCTGAAACCTCCTATTTCTACTAAATCCTTTTGGATAAACATGAAAGCAGTAGGCTAGGGAGGGGCATCCTATCCTTTTGCTTCATAATTGCAGTTGACTGTTTTCCTAAAGTTCACTTGGCTTTCCAAGAGGTCCTTCATTCCCATGAGAGGCATTCTTCTGCGTTAAGCAATTAGACCCTGAAACATACCCAACCATGTACAGCACTATTATGGATTTTGATTAAGTATCTTTCTCAGTCGCAACATCTATGACATCATCTGACTTTAACACTGCAAGTTCACTCCTCCTGATGCATCTTTCTCTGGAGAGAAAGCAGGCTCCTGGCCAGTAGCCAATCACAGCCCTCCCATTTCTAAAGCACATTTCTTCAAGCAAGGCAGCGGCACTTGATGAAACCCAGGTTCATGCTAACTGTGAAGTGTGATCTCACTCTCTCTAAAATCTGTGTAATTTGCCAAGCAAAACAAAAGCATCCAAAATATTCCCTGACAGCTGAAAACATTTCCCATGGGCAAAGGGGTGTTTTGCCCCCACCCCACCCTCTCTTATTAAAGGCACTATCCCCTCATGGATTTCCTGTAGGGTTCAGACCTGCAAGGACTTCCAAAAGTCCACAAGGTAGCTTATGCAGGAAGTCAGAGTTTGAAATCAGAGCCTTCACTACAGCCATTAAGTACAACTCTACAGAGAAGAGGCAGTTTAGTAACAAATTTATACTAGCCCCCTCAGAAGTGATCCAAACTCTATCTGCCACGCCTTTTTGCTTTAAGCTAAGGCTGAGAAAGAATCATAGAATACTGACCCCTACGGAACCCCACTTGTTCTGCCCTTCCAGCATGACTGGGAACCGTTAATAACTACTCTGGGAACGGTGATCCAGCCAGTTATGCATACACCTTAAAGTAGTCTCACATTATAGTAGCCCCATCTAGGTTGTATTTCCCTAGTTTATTAATAAGACAGTCATGCAAGACCATATCAAATGTCTTACTGAAGTCTAGCTATGTCCACGGCT